TTTATCTGTTATAATTGCTCTGTCAAAATATAGTTTGTGTGTTGTGTTCTCAAGGATAATTTGTGGAATATACTTATAATATAGTGTTTTTGTGGTGGTTAGTAATTATTATTATTATTTTTTTATTCATTTCCTTAAAATATTCTGAGATTGAGAATATTGTATATGTTTCAAAATTTTAAACACACCATCCTTTACATATTTTATAAAAAAATATGTAAAGGATCTTTATCACTAAATTGATATGTTATATGATCATTTCTGCATTCTTTCTCATTATTTTAAATAGTTCTTTGTTATTTTTTGTCAAAGAACTATTTAAAATAGTTCTTTATCAAAAAGTATTTGCATATAAGATATCATCATATCATGTGTTTAAAGTTTCACTAACATTAATAAAATAATAACAAAATTGCTTTGATAAGTTGTAATAGTTATCTTATCAAATATCACATTAGAAATAATAAAGTTTTAATATGAAAAGCTAAAATTTATCATTTAATTAAGTTTAAAATGATTTCAAAAATTTTAAATTTTAGATTTAAAATATCTTAACAGTTTAAGATTCAAACATTTATTTATTTACTTATTTATTTAGAAAATATTAGAAAGGCAATACCATTTAGAAAATATGAACCACCTCCAAGCATTTTTCATAATACAAATCATAATTTAATATATTTTTCATAAAGGAGCCAACCTGTATACATTGTTAATTTATAAATTAGCATTGTTATTTACAAAGCTGAATAATTTCAAATAATATAATTATTGTATTTTTACACTTTTTTCCTATCTTCTTAGCTATCTTGTTTTACATGCCTATATATATCCTCTTTACAGGTGTCAGGTTTTTACATATTTTTACATGTTTTTTTTTTTTTTTACTGTTGTTGGGATTTTGTTAAATGGGAAGTGGAGATCAATAGCCTATTGGTACTTCTTACTTGTGATATAATAAATAAATAAATATAATTTGTTTTTTTTCTTTTTTATGGAAATTAAATATAAATATTTTTAGACTAATTACAGTTATTCAAATCTATTTAATTTAAATCCAAATTAAATATACCTTAAGAATATAAATAAATCATAAGTTTTATGTTTAATTATAATTAATAATGTACTGTAGTATAAATATTCTTTTAAGTTCTCTAGTTAATTTATTTTTTCAATTTAGGATTTATGAAAGACCAACAAGTTTTATAATGGATATCATGTATGTTACAGAAAGGATTATTGGTAAGAATAACATTGTTATAAACATTTAAAATAATAAATAAATAAATAAAATATGACAATATTTACATGATTTGTTGATTCAGAAGATTAATTTAATTATCTCTGATCATTTTAAAGGTTAAGCCTTTAAAATTAAGTTTAAAAAGAAAAAATTGAGTATTAAATTATTAAAATATCACTGTCTTTAGAGACATATGTATTATAAATTATATTATTAAAAATTTGCTAGATATAATGCATTACAGACAAGGAAAAATTTTTTAGAGACATAGTAATGACTAAAGATATTTAAAATTAATATCCCAATATACACAAAATATAGAATTTTAATACAAATGTTTAAACACTAAAAAACATACTATGATAAAATTTGCTTAATCTACACTTAATCTAAAATAATTTATTAGTAAATTAATTTATGTTCTAGGAGTCAAGTAACAAACTTTGTAATTTAGTACTGTTGAGAATTATTCTTCTCATTCTCATAATTACTTGATCTTGAATGTAGCATTTGAATGACTTCATTTTTGATTCAGTCTTTCTGAAGTATTTGTGATTACACGATAATTTTCTTTGAATTTTTGAGTATTTATTATTTATTATCCAATTGTTTTACTAGTTATAATCTAAAATTGTCTTATAGTTGTTTTCTGTATTATAGGAAACTCATACACTTAATTGCCAGAAATTGTCTTCAATTGTAAAAAATAATGATTTATTGATTTAGTGTTAGTCTTGACTTTTATCTTCTGTTTAATATATTAATTAATACCTTTCTTAAACATTGGTTTAAATCTTCATTATATGAACTTGGCAATAAAAAGTTTAAATACATGAAAGTTTTGATAGTTTTTATATATACAGGTAACCTTTCTAAAACATGGTACTTATACAATGCAACTTCAATAAAACATGGTTCACAAATTGTAGCAATCCTTGTGTAATGCTGTGTTTATACATGCAATTTTGATATGAGCGTTCATATGAAATCATCTGTTTATTTATTCAAAGACAGTTAGAAATTTGTTTAGCACCATATAATGAACTTCAAAAACAATTGCAACAAAGCACTCAGCAGACTCTCATTACTGGCTTCTTTCAAAACTAAACCAGAAGAAGAATCTAAAGAAGTTAATAATTATGCAATGTTCAAATGGTTTCAAGTAATAAAGACATCTGACAATTTGCAAATAAAGAGTATTGGTGAAATATTGTTTAATAAGATAGAGAAGATGGCTAAAATTTATTTTTTGTGTTCAATGAAAGATTCTTTATGTACAATTCTTTACTTTATGAATTTTAATAAGTTTATTTTTGTTGTGTAATTCATGTTTTCTTAAATGAAATTGTTGAAATTAATTTCTTAAATGAAATTGTTTTTTCCTGTAAGAAAAACAAAATTTATGTATCATGTTTACATGATAGATTCATTTTGGAACATAAGCACACTTTTTATATATAATGTGAGTCCCACATAATGCAATTTGTATATGACAATTTTGTGGAACCTAACTACAGCATTACATGAGGGTTAGTTGTATGTATATTTTTGAACTATTTTGAAAAATAAACAAACACCTTTCTCTATTCCAGCACAATTTTAATCGTTGAAAAACGTTTTAGATCGTTTTAACCGATCTTCTTCAGTTCAAAATTCGAACTATATAATGAACAAAGTATTTGAAAAAATACAAAAAATTTCACATCGCTTATTTACAACTTAATGCTAAAGCGCATGCGCATACCTTATAAAACGTATAGATTAAACCTAAATAATTAAAAATAACATCATCATATATAAAGCAATATTATAAAAACAATTAATAACGCCGCCTATGCAGTTGCAATAGTTAATCTACATTATCATAAAAGGACTTCCAGGCTGTTGATAAACTTTCAGCATCTCTGTGGTTGATGCACTGCGCGGTAGTATGCACCTTGTGTATCTCAACTTTTTCCAGGTGTTTCACCGCTTGTATTGATCTTGTAGGTTTAATAATCGCTGCCTGATCCCAATATACTTCAATTCCTTGTTGTTTTGCAAATGCTGCGAGGACCGTGCTATCAAGGCTCCTATTTACTGAGTATTTGTGCTCATCAATCCTTTTCTTCAGGTTCCGCATAGTTGCTCCTATATATAGTTAGTTGATAGATCCTGGCCGCACCGAAAGGCATAGCCAGCGAGGGAGAGGAAGGGAGGAAATAAGGGGGATTGAAGAAAGAGGGGGGAAGACAGGGAAGAGAAAGAGGAAGAATGTAGATTACAAGTGCGCCATTGCTGGGCGTCAATTNACAGAGTAAAAATTCTCTAAAAAGCAAAGTAAAGTAATTAGTGTATAAAAAGTTTAGAACTTTCTGTTCAGAAATAAAGAAATCTTTTCCTTACACATTAGACAGTGAATTGGAAAGTTCACAGAAAGTTTTAAATGAGAAGACAGTACTTAAAACCAATAAATAAACAACTTTTAATATCAAAAGGAGACATAAATGATAATTGATCTGTCCACCTGTTTTGCTTATTAGATCTTGACAAATTTATTGTTTCACCTGCAGTGGTAGTGGTAGTTTGAAAGGCAGTGGTATGAGTAAAATACTGTATTTTGTTGCAAAAAGAAATTCAATGGCAATTGATAATTTAAAATTTATTAACTCAAGTGCTTTTAAAATTTGGGGACCAAAAAACAGTGTGATATATCTGAATCTGTGATATAATGAGGCACAATAAAATGAGGGGTTACTGTACTTTATTTTTTAATGTATGAAATACATAGCATATATATTCTCTTTTCTATGAGTTCTGAAACTTTTTAGATATAAATAATATAAATATAAACATGTAAATTTTATTAGAATAAAATTAAAATTTTTATTATTTTAGCTATCACATTTCCAGAAATGGGTAGCAATGCTCTTTATAAAAGTAACTTAAAAGAAGTAGCACACATGTTGAAAACAAAGCATGGAACAAGATATATGGTAAGAGTTAACTTTTAAATATTATTTTGATAACTTAAACTTATCATAATATAATTTGTTTAGCAGTGGCATGCAGTCATTAGAAGCGGTGGAAGTGCCGCTTCCCTTGTATTTTATAAAAAATAAATACATATTAATTTTAATATGAAAATAATCGCACAATATTTTATTATAACCGCATTATATATCTTATTACAAGTTTCTATACTATACGTGAAAAAAAAGATAAGATTGCTATTGTATATTCAAATATGTGGCAGAGTGGAATCTCTGTATTGTCAGATTCCAAAAAGTCTGATTTGCGCATGCACTTTACAGAGCACCAACCTCACCTGGTTTAGCTGGTGGAAGCCTACGACCTTGAATCGATGCTACACATTCCAAAGCTTCCAATTCTATCAGGGACCGAATCTTGGCTGTTAGCCGCCCGCCTGCTAGATATTTGGCCGATTACGTGAATAACGAGTAAATTTATAACTTAACCCAACCGATAAGAATTTACTGGTATGTTTTTAGATAGTTCTGTATAGTTGATGGGAGTTAAAAAATCCATTAAAATATTTGATATATTTATTCCGTTCTCCGATTTTATAGTACTCACGGATTTCAATGTTAAACCAGTGATATTACGATTTCGTATATCCCATCTTTAAGGGGATGTAGAAAAAAACGTGTATAATTCTTGTATAATGTTAAAAAATTAATTGTTACTTTGGTAGCATCATTTACAACTAAATTTAACGAATGAGAGAGATGCACGAGGNCTTTACAGAGCACCAACCTCACCTGGTTTAGCTGGTGGAAGCCTACGACCTTGAATCGATGCTACACATTCCAAAGCTTCCAATTCTATCAGGGACCGAATCTTGGCTGTTAGCCGCCCGCCTGCTAGATATTTGGCCGATTACGTGAATAACGAGTAAATTTATAACTTAACCCAACCGATAAGAATTTACTGGTATGTTTTTAGATAGTTCTGTATAGTTGATAGGAGTTAAAAAATCCATTAAAATATTTGATATATTTATTCCGTTCTCCGATTTTATAGTACTCACGGATTTCAATGTTAAACCAGTGATATTACGATTTCGTATATCCCATCTTTAAGGGGATGTAGAAAAAAACGTGTATAATTCTTGTATAATGTTAAAAAATTAATTGTTACTTTGGTAGCATCATTTACAACTAAATTTAACGAATGAGAGAGATGCACGAGGTACAGAAAAAGCTCTAGAATTTATTTTCCTTAAATTTACGATTTATGTATCCGTTTGTCATAAAAATTTATCTTTCCACTTTTTCCTGAGACTACAAATATTCGAGTACAAAGTAACTGGTTTCGACTTATTTCTACTTAAGAAGTAGTTAAATAATTAAGTGATTAGGGAATTGGGGACACAAAACCCTGATGAAAGAGCCAAAATTTTACTTGAACAAAAACTTAACCGAACTAATCTCTAGCCAAGTACAGTGGAAGTGATTTCTTCGAAATATTAGATATAATAAAGACAGACATTTTTCCAGTTCGACGAGAGTGACCAAAAAGTTGTAAATTTTGGAAATTTCCGTGGACGACACCTGGTCCTAAAACGAATTAGTTATAAAACAAATGATGGACAATCTATTAAATTTAACATATTTAGACTTTTACAGCTATGGTGAGAAACATTTAAAATTTACAAGAACCCTCTCGCATCTTTTGACATTTGACATTGACCGGTATCGGCACCCTCGGGATTTTGCAGCCCGCGTGCATGTACACACCGCACACCTAGCAGGACCGTCTCTGATTCCACTCGTAGGGAGCTATTTGACTAAGTGGTTAAGATTTAAAGAGTAAAGAATATTTTATGTTATTTTCATGTACGTTTCATTACAAAGCTGTATTTAAAGCTATATTCTTTAAAAGTATATTCATACAATTGAAGAATGTTTTGTACCAGGTATGTATATCCACCACACATTTTATTTCACCGAGTAAGTTTTTATAATCTTATTTTTAATTTTAGCCCTTATATCGTGGCTAGCGATTCGGAATGTAATTGCGATATTGAANGATCCCCTAACGGTTAGAGGATCGTTACCTGATGGAATCTTCCGTTAGGGGATCGTTACCTGAAGAAGAACTGTAACGGTTCAAAAACGTTTGTAACGTAACTGTTGTACTGTTGTAGAGTGTGATGATACGCGCACCGGTGAAAGGTTTATAGATACGTGTTGGAATACATTAAACACTTTAAGACAGTATTTTTGGATAAATTTATTATTTTATTCCTTGTTTATTATTGAAACTTACGAACAAATACTCTTTAGGACATTAAACAATCAAAACATTTATAAATAGGAAGTAAAAGTTTGAAAATATATTATTTTTATTGTTAAAATATTACATTAATCTATGTAATATTTATAATCTATTCTTGTTCTATTCTTTTGATTTAGAACAGAAATAATGCAGTTAATAGATATTCAGTATTATATCTAAATAAATAGATGTTATATGTTTTTATCAAAGCAAGAATTGGCATTTAGAGGACAAAGGAAACCTATTGAAACTAATAACAGAGGTAATTATATTGAACTTGTTTATTTATTAAGTATGTCAGATAAATAATCTATTAAAAATACATTTAAAGAAAGAATTAACTGATTGCCCCTGGAAGTCGGCTTCTTACAGAAACATAGCTTCCCTATCATCAAATGTCACGGCACGCCGCTGTTGTTTAGGCATTGGTGTTTAAAGTAAAATTATTCATTCAACAATAGCAAATCTATAGTAAATACAGTTAATACTTTAGATTCTATAGTAATCCAGAATAAATTAAAATAGAATTTGTTACATAATATGATACTTAGCCTAATAGAGAATAATTTAAATTAGATTAGAGTTTACATATAGAAAACAAGGGGGTCATTTACACCACTGGCATGAGTGTACTTACCCCAATGATGAAAATTTTATGAGGTAAATATATCCTAGCTTGTTGTGACAAAGCACATACATGAAACATATTTGTATCTAACATTTTATAATATTCATCTAAATATAGTATCTTGAAATCACAAATATTGGATTTTAAATACAAAAATTACTGTACCTGCACCCTGTTAAAAGAATAGATCAAATTTATCTAGATTTTCAAATTGCTTTTGCAATCACAGAAGCAGCCATGTTGAAACCAACTAGAATACTATCAATACCTGTATTTATGAATTACAAATCAACGAGATACAAAAACACACTTTATTGACTTTTAGTAGTGAGTTTAATACATTAAAAACATTTTCAATCTATTCATAGGTTTTACCCAGTTAGAACCTACAGAAATGGAACAGACTAACAGTTCAAATACAAAATTAATTTGTACTTTGCTCTCTTTTAATTTTAGAATGTTAGTTTTATTAAAAGAGAGCAAAGTACAAATTACAAATGTGAAAGTTATAAATTTAAATGAATACAACATAAAATTAAATGTAAAAGTAAAAAATTTAATTACTAACATTTAAATTTGAAAATTTAATGCAAAAAAATTGTATATTGATGCTTTACACTACTTGATTACTGGAATCCTGTAACTGGAAGTTGGAACACCATTGAACCTGAAGCAGAACTCGTTGGAGTTTCTAAAACGTTTGTTCACTCAAGTAAACATTATACCTTACTGGAAACACAAAGGTTTTGAAAGGGTCAATATTGATGCTTGAGCCTTGCTTTCAGGTTCTGTGCAGTGGTTCCATTATGTTAACTTTTGATAAAAATTCCGGTCTTCCAGTGGGATGGACAAGACTCCCAGTTCAGTGGAACAATTTTTCTTTCTGTTTATCATTTCTGAGTATACTAAAAATTGTGAGACTATTTATAGACTACTTTTATGTTGGTATTCCTGTGAATTTTTTTGAGTATAAGAAAGTAATTTACCATGCATCTCTTTGTGGTATTCTGTTGTGAGAATGCATTTGTTGTCCAGTTATATACCATAATTAAATTTTGCATTGTTATTGTTTTTGTATCTCATTGTCTCATATCCAGTTTGCTCTAAGAATATTGAATAAGAAATTTTTTCTATATCAATGTATTGGTATCAGCTTAATTTTGATTGGCTGATCAGATATGAAAAGGTGCAGTTACTCCATAGTTATATTTATTCTACCTGACCATATACTTTCTATAAAAATATTTGTATAGTTTTCTTACACTGTACACTGTAGTGGTGTGTGGTGACATTTGATGATAGGGAAGCTGTGCCGGCTCTGGATAGAATCATTGGAAGTGTTATATGATATTTTGGTGTGTAGCATCCACAAGCTAAACAGTAAGAGGTTGGTGATCTGTAAAGTGCATGTGCGAATGCCTGTAATCTGGCTACTTCACACGATTCAAATATTTTTGCCATTGAAGCTATCCCGTATTCGACAATACAGTGCTTTCATTGAGAATATGCATATATAAATTTATATTCGAATATGCAATGGCAATTTTATCATTGTTTTCAACTGTAGTATNGCATTTTGTATGGAAACATGCAGTTTCTTAATACATATAATTGTAACAATCTTTAAATAAATTAGGAATTTTAATTTATCCTAATTTTAGAATGTTAAAAATATTCAAAATTATGAACTATTTTCACAATATAATAAATACATTTTTAATTGCTTATTCTATAATAACAATAATAATTATAACCCTATAATAATATATATTGTTATTAATTGTTATTATATATATTGTTATTATGTAATTAAAAACTTTATTTATAATTAATGATAGTAAATATAATGACAAACATAATTATTAATAAAATAAAATTTCATAACAAACTTAAAAATCTGTCTTTATAATTATTTTTATTAATTTATTTATTGTATTTTTTCTTCTTCTTTTACTTTCACAAATCAAATTAAGAAAAATAAAGATTATTTTAACTTTATTAATTATGTAAAATTTACATATTTTATATATCTATTTTTGCCTAGAAGAGTATAAAATTTTCCATGAA